TTTGTATGAAAATGAGTTAACTTTGCATGTGAATAAAAGCTTATAACCAAATGAAAGGATGAGCATTGCTTTGAAGATGAGGCCAACAGTAACTCAGAAATGGGCCATTGAAATAAGATGACCATACTTATGTACTTATGATGATGCCAAAGTGTGAAACAATGCTGACACATTTTAATTTATATTGAAAGTGTAGTTTTTGTAAATTGTAATTTTAATTGACTTGCACATGTAGTGGTTTGTAGCTGTATTGTATGCTGGCCTGGAAGGGACATTGACTTCTGCAACCTTTTTTTTTTCCTTTTGTACAACTTCTTTTATTCCTGGTTACTTTTTCTTTTCTTCTGTGACTTCTTTTGGTTAAAAAAAAAAAAACAACAGCAACAACAACAGAAACAATTATGGCAGTACGAGACATGGCTGATAAGATACAATATGGGTAGTGTGGGTTGCAGATTATAAAAATTCATTGGATAAAAAAAGAAGTCAAACGGTAGAAAAAGGAGGAAAGAGAGGAAATGCAAAAGAAAAAGAGAAGCTGTGGAAGAAAAAAAAAAGCCTTGCAAAAGAAAAAAAAAGTGTCATGGATGATTAACATCATCAAATCTCTCTCCTTCTTTGGTCACCCTGATCGATAATTAATATAAAATGTACCTTTTTCTTTAAATAGGACAAGAGACAACATCTAACCAGCTTTCATTTACTTTATATGAGATTCTTAAACAGCCTGAGATTGAAAAACGGTAAGTGTATGTTAAGGTTTTTATTGGCTATATCCGCCTAGAATTAGATTTACAAGATTTCAAAGCCCTAGCTTGTCAAAAAGAACTATCTGCTCTTGTGGACAACAACTTCTCCTGAAGGCTTAAACCCAATTCTGGTATATAGAAGCTATGCATTTGTCAGTAAACATGCCCTTTGATAAGATAATCAGTATTCAGTTTCATGCTAGGTTCTAATTAAAAAATAACATAAATGTTTGCAATGTTGAGTTCCTAAGGTTTTCAAAGTTTAATTCTTAGGGTTTACAAGGTTCAATTCTTAAAGGTTTGCAAGGTTCAGTTCTGAGATTCATGTTCTGTTTCTTCACAGTGTATGTGTAAGTTCAAAATATATTTTAAATGGTTGGTTTTAAACAATTGCAATCATTATGAAATGTTTTGTTTTATTAACATCGATGAAACTTGTTTGGTTTTTTTTCCTCTATATAAACCAACAATGTTTTGACTTTAAACTTCTGCCATTATCACATGAAAATGATAAGAAGATAAAAGGTTACTCTCATATTATGCTGTTTTTCACTAGGATTTTAAAGGAGTTGGAAGAAATCCTTGGCAGCCGCAATGATTTAGAGTTTGAAGACCTAAGTAAACTTGAATACCTTGGCCAGGTACTGAAAGAAGGTTTGAGACTCCACCCTCCTGTTGCTAGCATCCAGAGAATGTTACCAAAGGGGGATTCTTTTGGTGGCTACAAACTCCCTCCAAACACCAATGTGACTGTGAGTTATATTGGAATCCAAAAGTCTTCCAAATTTTGGGAAAACTCTGATGTATTTGATCCAGACCGATTTTCTCCAGTGCACAAAGAGAATATTTTACAGTCCAGTTATTCACCATTCTCTCTTGGACCAAGGTCGTGCATAGGAAAAACATTAGCTCAGGTTGAGGCTAAAGTCTTGATGGTACGAGTGCTACGTGAATTTAAGTTTGAACTGCTGCCTGGGCAAACTGCAGCAGAAGAAGAAAATGTGACACTTAGGCCAAGAGATGGAGTCATATGTACTCTAACCACAAGGAAATAATTGGTAATTAGCTTTTTTTAATATAGATAGCAAAAGAAATGAAGGAAAGACTTGAATGGGCTTTTGCCTTTTATGATTCTAGAAATTCACATTGAATTTATTAATGAATTGACACAATTTATTGTGCACCTTTAATAATTAGAGGTGAAAATCTTGATTGCAAAAATACTGTTATTTCTTTGAATAAGCACCTGGGCATTCATTTAAAATTTCAGCTTAAAGAGGGGGGCACTTATTAGAAGGAGAGTGCTTAATTAAGAAAGGATGCCTATTATATTAGCATAGCAATGCAACAATAATCAAAAGAGCAGATTAAAAAACAAAGGTGGAGAACTCTGCAAGCACATGGAGATAGAAATAACTGGAACAGAAAAGAAACTATTCTCCTGCATGGATTCTGAAGGTTTAATAGGTAATGAAGAATTGGCAATGGATGAAACAGGTTTTCTTTCTATCTCCACTATTTAAGGAAGGGGAAGGGGGGAACTTGTTTGAAATTATGGCCTAGGGGGGAGGCACTTATTCAGGGGAGGGGGCTTTTTCAGGGATACACAGTCTTCACTTTTTCAAAAATTTTATTACATGTCATTTATCTCTTTCTACAAACAAGTACCATGATTGTAAACTTTTATAGGTTCGAAGATACATTCACAGTTGAAGGGAATAGACATTTTTGTTTTGAATTTATAATTATTAGCCCTTGTTGTTGTGTCAAGCAAAATATTCTTTTAACCCTTTAACTCCCATGAGTGACCAAGACAGAATTTCTCCCCTACATATCAATACAATATCAACCAGATAAGTGATGAGAGTAAAGAAAAAGATCAATTTGGGGATAATTAGTTGATCCAATATGTGCGAGTGAGAGTAAAGAAAAAGATCAATTTGGGGATAATTAGTTGATCCAATACTAAATTCTCTGAACTAACACTATAAGAATTGTATGGGTTACAGTAAGGAGAATTACAAATTTGGTCTGGGAGTTAAAGGATTAAATTCTGAAGATGAGGTTGACACAAGTTAGGTTGGTGAAGTCTGTACGTGAGCTAAGAAGCTTATCCCAGTTTTCTCAGCACATAGTCACTAGGGGTTATTACCGTTACTCCCCCCTTGATGGAATGCCAGTTCATTGCAAGGTTCTTCAGGCTTCCCTGACAATTTGCTGGTACCCACCTATACTCCTGGGTAGAGAAAGGCACTGTTAGTAAGAGTAAAGTGTAATATACAGATTTAGCCAAGCCTAAAAGTGGAGCTCGCATTTTTTTTTCCAGCATGTCTCAAGGGTACAACGCCTTGCCCTGGCCATGACTAGAACGTGGGTTGTCTGACTTGGAGCCCAGTGCACTGACCACTGGACTACTGGACAAAGCCATGGCATTGGTGTGCTTGCAGTACAGTTGACCATGCATGTCAAAAGTAGCACCTTGTACGGTTGTACATCCAAATTTTTTCAGCTTGATGGGCTACTACTATTTTGTATAATTATGGGGCTATGCTCTGCGAACTCTGCTATTACCCAGGAACACAACACAATTACCCAGCCAGGTCTTGAGCTCAGACCTCTTGACCTGAAGTCCAACACCACTAACCTATGCCTCCATGTTCCTTGGCCCTCCCTGCCTTGTTTCAAGCTTTAAATTAATTTGAAATGGTAAAATAAGGAAGAGGTATCAAGAGCTACTTTCCATAAATATAACAGAATTCTTTATTTGTCATTTTACTGGAAAAAGGTTGATAATTTTCTGTTAACAAATAGCAGACCAAACTTTTAATTAATAAAAGCATTAATTTCAAAAGATCAACCTCCTCTTTTGCTAAATAATGTTATCTGGTTGAATAAAACATCTACCATAATAGAGTGCCCATTTTATCTACTTTATTCTGGTTGCAATTGTCAGTAGTGATATTGTTAGGATAAGTTCCTGAATGGTCCCTAGAGTGAAGGAATTTATTACTAAGCTAATGTTTTGCTTTACCCAATCTTTTTTTTGTGTGTGTAAAAGCTAAAATGAGCAACCATGACCATCTACACATCAACCATGCTTTAAAACCTTGACCTTGTACAACTTTTCTCCTGAGCCATTCGCTTGCAAAAGCGAACCATTTTCCTTAAACACCTCCATATTCAAAGATATAACACTTGTATTCTGCTGGAAAGATTTGACACAGCCAGGCAAGGTTTGAATTCTCCACCCCAAGGCACTTATGACAACTTCAAATGCCTGTGGGTTGCCTGTGAGGCAAGGAGAGGGTGTTGTTGAAGTTTTGAATTGATGTGAGCATAGGCACCATAAAATAAACAGATAAATATCAGTATCTGGGCAACTGCCCACCTACCCCTCCCCTAACCCAACAACAGTCTATTGATAACAAATCAGGGTTAATGTTAGGTTAGGGGAGGGGCAGGTGGGCAGTTGCCCAGATACTGATATTGATCTAAATAAACTATATCTTAAAATGCAACATTTCCAATTCGACCTAAACTGTCTTAGCTAACATCTATTTTGAATTTGTCTCTTTTTGTCTAAAATTCTCTCATCTTGTTAAGAAAAACATACAACCATTAGTCTAAACAAAACTGCAACAACTATGGAATCGATAAAACTGTTTTTTGATTATTTAAAAAGTTATCATTTTCACAACTAATTTTAAGTTTGAAAGTATAAAATTATTAACCTCTTTGCAAGCTTAAAAATAATTATTTTGATTTTTACTTTAACCCTTTAACTCCCATGAGTGACAAAGAAAGAATTTCTCCTTACAATATCAATACAATGTTAACCAGATAGGTGATGAGAATATAGATAACTATCAATTTGGGGATGATTGGTTGATCCAATACTAAATTCTCAGAACTAACATCATGAGAATTGTATGGTTGACAGTAAGGAGAAGTACAAATTTGATCTGGGAGTTAAAGGGTAATGTTAGTATCAACATCATCAACAGGAAAATGGCTGAGTGATACAATTGTCAGAACTTCAACCCTGTACCTCCCAGAACTGATTAACATTTATATTCTCTCTATAATATCCATGCACTCTCCAGCAAACAGATAATGAGAATACTCAAACTCATCTGATAGAGGTTGTTAACTTGATTTAACATCAACTTCTTGCAACTAATTCACAAGGAAATGTGGAGCAGCTAGAAGGGAGAATTAATAATCAGATCTTAGGAGTTAAAGGATTAAATCTCAGGTTGTGACCACAATTTATTGCAATCTATCATCTATTGTTAGTCATTGTATATGTGATAAGATATGCAGGATATGCAATGTCAAGTTTATAGAGAATGTATACATTACAGTTATTGCTGACCCCATTGATGCTGTCATAACGGATATTGGACCCTGCCTTTAGCGGAGGCATTTTCAGACTGCGGTCAGGAGGTAAAGATATACTATCTCCAGTGAGAACATGGGCAAGGAATAGCTGAAAGTGTTGTGTTTGAGCATCTTGGTACACAAATCCATGATGGCTATATGAAGCCTCACAGGCAAAATAGGTACCCCGCCCCCAAAGGCCGTCAGCAGAATAACGCATGTCAAACCCATCTTCACCTCTCCAGATGGCTTCAGGACTTGTTTCTCTGGTGCCATGGAACAGCTCTTTTTCATTGATGGATGCAGATCCTGATTGAAAGGGAACACTTGAGAGTTTAGTGTCAAAATTTACACAAAGAAAGGGTCAGCAACTAAGAAAGAGAAATTATAAAATCTTTAATGTATCCCTCATAAACACTAACCATTTTTCTCCTTCATCAAATGACGCTGTATGGCATATTTCCTGTAAAGCCACTTGTTCTGAACCCGCTGTATATCAACCACTTTTGCCTTCCTAAGACTCCTCTTCAAACTTCCCTGAACATGATCCCACTCGGCTGAACCTGGACGCACTCTTACTAATTCTGCACCATTGCTCTGTTGCTGCCAGTCACTTGGGACTGTAAGGGCTTCTTGCGGTATCAAACTTTTGCCACTAGAGATAACCAAAAAGGATAAAAAAAAAACTGTATCATTTATCCAGTAGTATTTTTAATTGACGCATTATTAGAGTTGTAAATATGGCAAGCCCTCTGCCATGAATGCAATTGTAAAAGAGGGTAGTTTTACTTTTTGTATGTTCCTGATCTTATATCATACTTTCACCAATCAGAAATCAAAGTGTAAACAAGTAAACTGCTTAAAGTGTGGAAAAACAGGTTGGAGTGGCCAAGTTGCTATTTTATTAGTATTGTATCTTGTTGGTTGAGAAGACTGCACAAATTCTCTGGACCAATCACACAGCAAAGTTAACCCTTTAACTCCCAAGATCTCATTAATAATTCTCCTTACTGTCTGCTATAGAGTTCTTGTGATGTTAGTTTGGAGAATTTGGCATTGGATCAATTTATAATCCCCTAATCGATGTATTTTTCTTTATTCTCATCACTTGTCTACTTGATATTGTATTGATATGGTAAGGAGAAATTCTGTTTTGGTCACACATGGGAGTAAAAGGGTTAAGTAAAACCAAAGCAATTCAGGATCACTTTGACACTTAATAGAAAACTGACCAGCACAAAAAAAGGAATAACAGATAAAACCTTGGAAAAAATGAACTGGACTACCAATAGCTTTTTCACTTCTGAGATTCAATAATGATTATACTGAATGATGATTAATTGTTATCCCTTTATTGATACATTCCTGTGTTCATCTTCCTTACTTGCTCACAGAAGAGATTTCACACTGATCCGAACTTGAAGTCAAACACACTTTCACTGTACACTGGTCCTCTTTTCATCCAAGGTCTTTTTAGAGTTAATGGGTTTCCTGTTTATATCATCTGACCTAAAAACCCTTCAACTTTTAGATGCCTCCATTAACCCTTTGACTCCCACAAGTGACCAAGACAGAATTTCTCCTTACAATATCAATACAACATCAAGCAGGTAGGTAATGAGAATAGTGAAGAAAATCAATTATGGGATTATTAGTTGGTCCAATACCAAATTCCCCGAACTAACATCATAAGAATTTTATGCCAGATAGTAAGGAGAATTACTAATTAGATCTTGGGAGTGAAAGGGTTAATTATGTGCAGTTTACCAGTACAGTTCCTTTTTCTAACTGAACCCCTGGAACAGGCAAGACAACCTTAAGAAAAAGATCTACAAGCAACACACCTGATGTTTTCTTCATTTCCTTCTGGAACTCGAAAGATGTGGCTCTTTGTTCCATTGCTGCTGCAAGCCATTGTCATTTTTAAAAAATTAACTTTGACACTTTTAGTTGATCCTGGCAGTTTAATACCTATTACCCTGTCAGACGCAACTCCAGAATGATCTGACTTGCAGTCTAGGAATTCTTTTTCTAACACATTGCATTCAGAATCAGTAAATGGAACCAACTTGTTATCGTCTGACTCCCAAAACCATGTCACCCTTGGTAATGGAACTTTCCTTTTCAATTGTTGTGCCTGTGCATCGGGCTTGTTTCCAAGTTCCTTACCAACCATTGCAACTTTGTTAGGTTCATTGGCATACTTCTCCAACAGCAAAGTGATTTGAGTGGGGTCTGCATCAGGGAATACCTTTTTCAAAATCTCCAAATCACTTAAAGAGGCTGAGACTGACAGCCCTTCCTTGCTGCTTCTGATTTCTTCAATCGTTTGCACATCCTTGCTTGAATCTGAAGGTTCCACACACTGAACCACTGTGGAAGTCTTTGTACAGGAAGGCTTTACAATACTTTGTCTTTTTCTTCCAGGTGATTGGCCGGTTTTAGACTGATCTCTGTTTGATAGAGACTGGGTATTACTCTTGCCTGCACAATTTTTTTCATCAGCATCAATTTCGACAATCTGCAGCTTTTTAGGTTTATTCATTGATGGGTGAAGAACACCACCTTTGTAGCGTATACAAATACCCTTATGCTGTGAAGGTGAAGTTGTACCCGAGATACTGATGCAGTTCCTAGTGCGCTGAAATGGTTGTCTTGTTGGGCTTGCCACACATTTTACAAAAGCTATGTCACAATCATTGTCATCGGATGTACACTTTGATGATGTGATAGATCTCACTCCTTTCTTGTCAGAGTTTTTGGAACAAGTTGTAAATGATTCACTTTCATTGTTACTTAACACATTGGTGTTAACATCAATTTCATCCTCTCCTAACATTGCAGGTAAACTATCAGTTTCACTGCCACTGGAATCTCTTCTCTGTAATTTTTTGGGTGAAAGCTCTAATGTACCAGCTTCTACACTGCATGAGCTATTTTCACCTTTAACAACTGTTTTCAGTTTTGTGCTACTTTTTTTTTTAGTTGAATTTTGAGCAGGATTTGACCCAACAATGTTGTCCCCTTGAAGCAGCATGTCAATGATAACTGATAAGTAGTTAGCTTGGTCGGAAAAGATTTCTAAGTAATTCCTCAATACTTTACTGTCCATACAAGGAAACATTTCAGTCAGACAAGCAAGATCATCTTCAAACTTGTATCCAGATTTCAAATCTGAAGATGTATTATTCATGTTGCCTGCTGCACAAAAATTACCCTAAGCATCAGATGGCTGTAAGGCTTTTAAAATTCCTCTTCATCTACTTGACTATGCAATAAAATAATAACCCCTGCAATTTAATTAAAATGAGATCGATAGTTATAGATCAATAATTAGGACCGGCCTTTTCGGAAAGAAACTCTCTCAACATCAGGGGAAAGGGTCGGAATGACATGCACATAGGCGAATCTCAAATTCTTTCGTCAATTCAGTCATTGGGTTCCTGATCAAATACTGAAAAGGGACCAACGAACATCAAACCAATAAAAAAGGGGTAAAATTTCTGCACAGCCCCATACTATTGTCAAACAAAGCTATTTTCCCAATGGCAATGTATTGTTTTTGTCATTGTTTTCTCTATCCAAGAATTGAATGCATAATGTAGTATGGGGCTTTGCGAAAATTTTACCGATCTGAGCTCAAAATTTAATTCCGCAGATGAAAAAAATGTATATATATATGTGTATATTAAACAATCACGACGAAAGGAATCGACGACGATCAAGCGTTTTGGTTTGTCAATTGAAGGTGTCACTTTAATTCTAACAGTCAAAAACCATCAACTTGGTCTCCGGAAACAACGAAGGCCTGGCTTTTAGGCATGCATGATATAGAACTTACGGTGTGCAAGGATCTGTCATAGTATCCACCTCATTTCATGGCCAGATAAAGTATATTTGTTGCTTAGCTGTAAAGGAGGGATTGTGTTCAATTTCGTTGAAATCGAACTCATAATCGTTAACTAGAGCTCCGAACTCCACTTTAAATGTAACACTCTTCCTGATTGGCCAAGTATGGACCAATCAAAAATAAAGAAAATATTTAATATTCCTGTCTGTACAGGCATCCTGGGTAATCAATATGGCGGTCTCGTTGCTAACATAAACAACAACTGACTTTCGACCTGGGAAATGGTCAAACACAAAGTTACAGTGAAGTTTGGACCGTATATGTCATGTGGAATAGTTGAACATCGAACTGCGCGTTTGGAGGGGCTTCAAGGTAAATGAAAAGTTAAAATGCCGTCAAATTTCTTCGTTCAGCAGTTTTCTTCATTTTAAACGAGTTGTACAACATTTTGGTTTCACAGCGCTCTTGAGAAGTGAGGGACACACAGTAGAATTTGTCAAAACTCGTGACAGAGATGACGTTGAACTGGTAGTTCACGGGGAAATAATTTATCGTTGTAAAATTCAGACGCTTCAGTACGGTAGGTTTTCACCTTTTCCAACTATGGTCAGTGAAGTACTCCCAAGTGACCAAGACATAATTTCTCCTAGCAATGTCCATGCCATATCAAGCAGAAGAAGTGATGAGAACAAAGAAAAGGATCAAATACGGAATAGTAAACTGATTCAATACCAAATTCTCAGATCAGACATTATTGGAAATTTATGGTAGACTTAAAAGAGAATTACCTTCAAATTCCTAGGGGTGGAAGGGTCAGGAATGATACTGATGCAGGGTTATTGATACCTAAGAGGAAGAGAAATAGAAAGCTACCAAGTTGACAATCAGGAACATGTACTGCTCTTTGGTCTTAAAAAGCTTCATCAGTTTGATATTGGGAAAACAAACAGTGATGAATTAAAACTTAAAAAATAATGGGTCTCACTAACTTCCCTTCTGATCTCACAATCTCATTGGTCTTGCAAAAAGTTTCCCAATCTCTTTATTTATGCATTTCTTACAGTGTAATCCCTTTCACTCCCAAGATCTCATTAGTAATTCTCCTTACTATCTGCCATACAGTTCATGTAATGTTAGTTTGTAGATCTCATTTGTAATTCTCCTTACTATCTGCCATACAGGTCTTGTAATGTTAGTTTGAAGAATATTGTATCAGACCAACCAATATTCCCCTAATTGGTATTTTTCTTTATTCTCATTACCAAGATATTGCAGTGATATTGTAAAGAGAAATTCTTTATTGGTTCATTATGGGAGTTAAATGTTTTAACCACAATTACTATTGACTGTGTTGCTAACACTGTCTTGTTCCCACTACAAATTTTAAAATGTGGGTCTGGTAGTCTCGGTAAGTCTCCAATTTTATCACCCACTGCCCCTCTAATATACTTTAGGCCTACGAGTTCCACTTGTTAAAAAGATTGCACTACTTTTGCAAAACCACAAATTTTATTAATTGATATAATGAGTGGTTAAGTAGTTTCCTAGTCCAAGAGCAATTTTCAACCACCTGGATGAGAATCTTATTAACTATTTTTAAACTTTGATTTCAGGGGGTGATGGAAAACTTGATCCAATATGTAAAGAAGCCCTTGCAGCAGTCAACAAAGCCTACTAAATGAATCATTATCTGAATTATATTTACCTGATAAGAAGTACTTGACTTTTTACAAAATTGATGTTAATAATTCAGAATTAACCCTCTGCCCTCTAAGAGTGGCTAGCTTTCTCATTACAGTATCATCCCTGAATCTCACATGAAGGTCACAAAAAAAGAGGAAATTACCATTAACTTAAGCTGCTCTTGATTTTTAAACAAATTCTCCTTGTCAGTACCTTGGGAAATGTTTAAAGAAGAGTATTGAGAATATGGATACTGATGTTAAGGTGTAGAGATTTCATTATTAGATTGAGATTAGTAATTTTTGTATACTATAGGCTGTTAATGGAGAGAGAGAATTGAAGTTTTATGCTTTGTGTCAGTGTCTGTGAAATGAACAAAAGTGTTTGAGTCTTTGTTAATAAAAGTTGTAGTTGAAGACTTAGCTTCATTAATGAGTTTTTGTGATATTACTAACCTAGACATATAGACCCCAAATCCTCGACACTCAATTATTAAGTCATGAATGAAGGTGGACATTAAGATTCATACAGTTCCAGATACCTGGAAAAAGAATTTTTGCTGGGAAATGATTTCTGGGATTTTCCATTTAAAAAGAGTTCTATTAAGATGTGTAATAATTGCTGTAGGAAATCTGTGTAAAGTAAGATTTCTTATCTCAGCCTTTTTTACAATGTAAACAAATTAACCACCATGATAAAATGGACAGATATAATTACCAAACAGTAATTTGTTTATTAGATCAGTACGTTTTTACAGATTTCGCTCCAAAATAAAAACACTATTTCCCTAATTTGCAGATTAATTCTGATATTGCTCCTTGCCTGTTATACAGACTTACTTCTTGGATTGAATTGATTTCATATTTCACTTATCCAGATTGCATCATTCAGCAGTTGGCAAACCCGTGGTTTTGCGAAGTCATAAGATATATTCCTATGCTGGGCTCGTAAAATTTATTATAAATGTTTAATTAAAAATCATACTTCTATGTTACACTCCCTCACACAGCTTGCAGAAGCAGATAAAACAAAACATACTGAAAAAAAAAATTGTCCTATATGGGAAATATAAGATACAATAATTCTTGTTTTGAACTGCAACTTGCAGTTTCTCAAATCCATAGTAAATAGGTTCAGTACTAAAAGCTGTCTTTCAAAATGAGGTAGACAATTATTTATACTAGGGCTTTGTTGATAAGATCCTCCTGTTCTGAAATGTGATGATGTTTGTTTCCAGTTGCTGTTGATGCAGCAGGAGGACGGCCAGCATAACTGTCAGAAGAAAAAAAAAAAGCAAGACTAAACAAATAAACGGAAAACAAATTAAATATAAAGTGTAGTGACATTCTGTCTAATGGTCATTAATCACAGTCTAATGAGTTAAGTGGCTCATCAAAAAGGTGAGTAAACACCAGTCTCAAAAGTATAGATTAGTGAGACATATTGCTGTCCTAATGCATGGCAAGCTCTTCATTTTTGTCACACCACTTCTTTATATTTTTTTTCACCAGATCCTGGTGAGGGTAGTCATGAAAATGAATATGGTTACAACCAATTTCAAAAGTAGCCGAGACATCTTACGATGACAAGCGAAAACTGGCCACCATGCAATCAAACATAATGTATCCCAAATGAAACATAAAGGAAGACCTTCAACCATTTTTATTCATTACCTGATCTTAACATTGTTTCCAACAGAAGTGACAAGGCGTGGATGAACATAAGTCCAGTAACCCATATTCATGGGTTCCTCTTGAGCCCATACAATCTCTGCATTGTCGTACTTCTGATTTTCAGCCTTGATCAAGTCGAATGGGAATGGACTTATCTGAAATAAAGACACCAAAGGTTACAGAGGGGTATCTTTAGCGTTAAGCCACAGTGACTGTGAAACACGTCACAGTGTTGCATGTCATATTTATTACTATCCTCAATGAAATCAGTTCCACTTGAAACAAGTACCACTGATGATAAAAACTTGCAACCAGAAAAAATAATTTTGTACAAATACACACCACAACACCAACTTAAATAAAAATGAAACTTAAAATCAGTGGGTTTCTCTGTTGATTAATTTTCAGCATCAGTTTATTGCTGTTATACTAAGTATTAGTCTTCGAGTGACATAAGGTCATTGCCATTTCTCAGCTACCGCTACCTCTAACACAGATACAATCAAAGATATTCTCGACTGTTGTCTGTTTCTCCTGCAAAATAAACGAAGGCTCATTCTCTCAAGGGTTAACAATATGGACAGTGCAAGGCACTGTTGCCTACACTGTATCAGAGAGCAAAGACAAATGCACTCACTGTGCATGCAAAGAGACATGCCAGAACTAGTTTACAAACAGGGAATGTTATTGCTAAACTTTTTGTCTCAATGCTCCATAAATGCCATTTGCTCTATACACATTAAAACATGCAACAATTTCAGAAAACAAAGTCAACAAAAGCTGGTGTCGGTGGGGGAGGTACACGAAACATGGAAACGTAGCAAGGGTAACGGTCTTAATGAGAAGGTCACAAGCTATAGGACTATTCATGTGGACAGGCTAAGAAGACTTGAACTTCAGAGCATGGGCTTGCAAGTACAGTGCTGTAACCATCTCCTATTTCTTTCATGGCTTTCTTAAGGAAAGGCAAGGCAAGGCAAGAAAGCCTGGTGATCATAGGTTGAAAGAGGTACTGGTACTTGTGTACCTGTTCAACACGAGAGATGGCAATGTCTTCATCAAGACCTCTCTTGCTTCGTTCCTGAAGTAGAAAACAAAACAAATTCAGTTTGAGTAACAAGATCTTCCTTAAACGCTCAGAAAGAGTGGCCTCTGTAAGCTGCAAAGCATGCAAGATTCCAGAGATCTGTCAGACCTGTAGCATGCTTGCAATACTTGAAATATGTGCTCTTTGCCACTCTTTTGCTCACGGGCTAAGGAGGAGAGCAGCTGGGATTGGTAACTGGTGAGAAGTGTGTTGAACTCAAACTGCTGTGCTGCAAATTTGATTCCTCAACCTGTTGTGTGGTGGTGAGGAGAGTACGAAGATGGCAACTGAATGAGTTGCATTTCAGAACTCTTACCTTTGCCAAATCATAGTAAACTTTTCCAGTACAAAGAAGGAGTTTGCGAACTTTCTCTGGATTTTTTGATGCTGGACCAGACTCTGGGATCACACGTCTAAATGATGTCCCTGTATTTAAAGTAAGAGTTCATTTTGTTATTTGCATTTGGTGTCAATATCGAAGATCCTATTGTCCATGTCTATTTCAAATGCAAGACCATGATAACGTTTTGATCCATCATAGATTGAAGTAAAGTGATTTGGATGAAGAAAAGCTCTCCTGGAATGAAAAGTACTCCTCCCTTTGGGTTGGTACTGTTCAAACTTAAATAATCTTAACTTCTCTTTTGTGCTTTCACTGTGTTTGTTCTTTTGAGACCCTCATATACTAGAAAACATTAAATTCAGAATTTCATTGCAAACTCAAATTTCAAGACAAAAGAGGTTAAATGTAACCAACATAATCTTTTCTCAAACTTACCTTCTGCCATTTCATCAATATGAGATCTGGCAGCTTCTAGACGGAGAAGACTTTTTGGTGTCATCAGGATGAGCTGAGGGAAACCAAGTAGTTAGATTTACAACCTGATCTTCTCCTTCTTATGAACTATTATAAAATAATACTAATTTAAAATTTTATCAATCTTGCTGACGTTTGCTAGCCTTGTCCCTTCTTCTCTCTTGTGTATTTATATACTACTGGACTAATGTTTTGTAGTCTCACTCAAGTTGTAGGTCATTTTACACCAAGCAAAAACACACAAATTATGGAGACAAAGCCAAACTCCTTTAAAATAAAACAACCTTACATACACATTCTTGTTCTTCTTTCTAATTTGAAGGGAAGTATCAAGAAAAACTTACAGGCTTGCGGAAGTTCAGAGCAATCTGTCGCCGCAGCACATGGAAATAGTTTGCAGGTGTGCTACAGTTAACAACCTAGAAAAAAAGGACCCACATTTCAGTGTGGTTTCTGTAAAATCACAATTTAAGAGGTCTGGATAATTCTAAATTTAAAAAAAAAACATATATATATATGATTTGCAATTATTAACTGCAAAATTAAACTCACAAAATTGACTCACCTGCCAGTTGGTGGAATAAAGCTGATTCACCTCGAAGAGTTCATTGTTTGTCTGCAGATTTGAAAGTAATAAAACAGGCGTAACAGACAAACCCACCAATACCGACTAAGATAAGACTGAATAATAAATTAAATTTGTGGTTCTTTGCAAACAAATTCTTTGAAAAAAAACTTATGAAGAACAAACTAGAAAGTAAACAGTCACTTGAGATGAATTGCCAAAAAAAAAAAAAATGTGTTGGACATAAATAACAAACTGTGCAATTTATAATGAAATATGACAACTGAAGAACTATATAACATGTTACTGATATGAGAAGAAATTAGTAATTACTGGAAAAACATCAGGGTTGTCATTGCTCATTTGTAGAAACCTCTCTGGCCTGGCACTGGAATGTTCAGGTCCCTAAAAGAAAAAAATATATAATTATGGAACTGTAAGTGTGTTTCCACTCTACAGAAAGATGAAATTTAGACAAAACCATTGTGAAATTCCATATTTCATCTCTGAGCCTTAAAGCAACTAAACAACAGCAGACAATTCCCTTTATATGTGTTGCTTTGTACAATCAAGCTAAATAAAGGGACAATGCAATTATCATCATCGATCAGACACGACATCTTATAACAGCAGACAATTCCCTTTATATGAGTTGCTTTGGACAATCAAGCTAAATAGAGGGACAATGCAATTATCATCATCGATCAGACACAACATCTTATTTGCATATAACAGGCCCACAGACTTTGTTATGAGTTGTAATTATTAAGAATATTCATAATTCCATCTTTTTTAAAGATGCCTGTAGTTTAGAAATTGAACCCCACAAGGTATGGTCATGATAAACACAAATCTCACACCACTCACCCCAGACTGATTTCACTTTTGGCAGTCTTCAAGAAAGAATAACCCTTTCACCCCTAACAGTGACTAGCATCTAATTTCTCCTTACAATATCACCCCCAAAGTCACACATAAAGGTCGCAAGAAAAAGGGAAATGACCACCAATGATAGAAGCTCTTACCAGATTGTTAAACAAATTCTCCTCATCAGCACCTTAGGAAATGTATTGAGAACAGTATGGAGAATATGCATACTGATGTTAGGGTGTAAAGAATTACAACTCACCATTCCTTCGTATCCATGAGGAAGTAACATGGTGAGTGCACTTTGTCTCACCCATTTGTCTTGTCCACTGCTGATAAACTGATCAATAATACACTACCAAGGGTAAAAATAATTATAATTAAAACAAAAATAGATTGAAACAGTGACGTTAAATTTCACAATTACCCTGTAACATTAGAATTTATCCGGTTTGGAGGGCTTACTGTTAGTAATGAATGAAATCACACTTAGTCTTGTGCTGAACTGACCAAAGTATTTCAGATGTTGATCTCTCTTACTAATCCAATTGACATACCTGGGCAGTATTGTTAAAGTCACCAAACTGTGCTTCCCAGCAAACAAGAGCAAATGGATTGGTCATGCTGAAACCAAGCTCAAAACCTACAAAATGAAGAAAAATGTGTTTTATGGATAAAAACTGCAATTGGCATGACCAGTTAAAATAATGCAGTTCACGTTTGTTTTTTGTCCAAAATTTAGCTGTTGATCATCTTTTGCAAATGAATGGGTGACAGCAGTCTTGAACAGGACTGTTGAGCACAGTGACAGAAAATCTGGAAATCCTAGTGCCAGTGACCCAGTAAGTTGTGACTTCAAACACCCTCCCCTCTTGCCAAAAAGTCCTAACCTTGATTAATAAAGTATGAGACAAGTTACTACTGCAAAATTGTTTGAGGAATGCTGGAACTTTTCACTACAAATATATGAATAAGAACAAATAAATGTAAATAGAATTAGAGACATAGTAAGTTTTGAGCTCAGTAAAGAAATAGACAAAAAAAATGTTTTTTGTCTTGTCACGAGTGTGGGACAAAGAAAAAATTCTGAGTCTCCATGAGGAGTTGAACCTCAGACCTTTGGATTTTGTGCTCCAATGCTCTACCAGAGAGCCACAGGGACTCTACAGTGAGCGAGGTCTATTGCAAAGTTCATATGACACAAACTGCTTGGATCCGCAATGTTGATAGCTGATAATGTGCACTTAACATACCTAGCACAGCATATTCTGATAGAGAGCTATTGCAGACTGTGTAAATGGCCTGGTCAGTGCTGAGATCATTTAATGGACAGTACGTCACTTTATCTTTGTCTTGATCATGCAGAATATGATGACGATGGCTACAAAGGAAAAAAAATATCATCCAATGGCTCATATAGAAAAATTCATCAGTAGTACTGGAGGGTAAGTGTTGTTAAAAAGAAATAGCATCAAAGGAGGTCAACAATCTCTTTAGCAGTGAGGAGGTCACCATACTCTTACATGGTACTGTTAGCAGTGTATCTACCTGAAAGTCCCCCTCTCTACATCCTGTCCACTTAGCCTCACATGAACACCTTCTATCAAAAGAGAGCCAAATGCCAGGGCTTCACCCATTGCCCAGTCCACATAACCCTTCTCCAGTAGATCATGGCGAGCTTTAAGGATGCGGCGCAGTCCTGAAATTGATATCCATTCATTAAGAAAAGGGTCTGCCAGTAGTAGTATGGTATACTTGCTTTCATTTCACACTTACATATAAACATAAAAAACTGCCAATCACACGACTTGTCTTTGGAGTGAGCAGCATATGTTGCATTCATTTTAAAGATTCACACAACATCTCAAGGCTTAACCCATTGCAGCCTAACATCAGCATGCATATTCTCCATATTGTTCTCCATGCACCATTTCTTTTATTCTTAAGACCTTTTGAATGGGCCATTCAGGGGTGATATTGTAAGGAGAAATAAGTTGCTAATCACTCTTAAGGGTCTAAGAGTTAACATTGAAGCAACCAACAAACAAGAAAAAATTTATATTGAAGAAAACAGCACAGCATGAGAAATATTTTGACCTCAGTCCATTAAAGCGGGAAAAAAATTCCTCATGGATACAAAGGAATGGTGAGTTTTGGTTCTTAACATCCCAACATCAGTATGCATATTCTCCATACTGTTCTCGATACATTTTCATAAGGTGCTGACAAGGAGAATTTGTTTAACAATCTAGTCAGGGCTTCTATCATTGGTGATCATTTCCCTTTTTCTTGCGACCTGTGTGTGATTTTGGGGGTGATATTGTAAGGAGAAATTAGATGCAAGTCACTCTTAGCAGTTGCTAATTAAAAAGTAAATGATCTTTGAACACAGGTAATAAAATTGACAACTTTGGCTACCAATTTAGTCCCTATTTTTTTCTAGTTGTCATGGCTACAAAAATGGCCACAGCTTGGAGCAGCCTGAGATGTTGGGGAAGGATCATCTTTTTTTTACCTCCATGAACCTTGAAGTCTCCACCAGGAGCAGCACTGAACACATTTCCTACATGCTTCAAAGTGTCAAGAGCAATTCCTGTTGGTTTCACAGGCTGGGTAGGAGAATAGCCTTTTTTGAAGAATCCTGTTGAAACACAATGAGAAATTGGTTATTCAATAGATATCTGAATTTTAGACATCAGTTCATCTATTTATCTTTTATTCAATATCAAATGAAATTGTGATATACATGAACCCTTTTCGTAGGAGCTATGTCTCTTTCTGACACAAACTTTGGACCAACAAAATTTTTTTAAAATCTTGGACCCCTTGAAGTGATAAACATGCTTGATGTAATAATATGATTCTTTCAACTTCCAATAGACATGCAAAATTAAAACAGCAGATCACACCTTTCCATGGTGAATCCAGCCAATCCCTGTTAAGCAGTACACGCTTCTCAGACTTTGCATCAGCAAATGCTTGTTCACAAATCTTATCGTAGTTGGCTTTCTCTTCCTGAAAGAAAAGACACAATATTTTTTTTAAAGTATGACTCAAGTCAAGAAGCCTCCTATCTAAAAGTAAGGAAGCAATACTCCTAATCCTTGCAAGCTATAGAGACCTGAATTATTCTGTCTAGTAACATCCTCTACAAAATTCACTGCAGACTAAGAGCTTTAAACTTTCTTTGGAATGGTCACATGTTCAGACTAGACAGATCTCTGGCTACCACAATAGGTTGATCAGTCATTTATTATATGACCCTTATGGCCCAGCACATGGTTTAATAAATATTAGACAAAAATTCCCCATCCAAGGCCATATTGATGGCCTGAGAGAGCCACTTAGAGCCACTTGGCTTTGCAACAAAAAAGCAACCACCATATGATAAAATACTTGTTGACTTAGTTAACTCAGTCTGGATGAGAAAATACTTGGCTCTCCCTCTTGATGCACAGACCTAGCTGCAATCTGTCCATTCCTCATGACCTCAATTAAAATATTTTCCAGTCTGGCTCTCTCACTCAGTCTATAAGCGCATAATCTGCACATACCTGAAGCCATTCCTCTGTGACAACACCCTCATCTATAAGTTTCTTTGTGTACAAATCCAACACATGATTCTTTTTGTTGATGTTCTTGTACATGATTGGTTGTGTGAACATTGGATTGTCACCTTCATTGTGGCCGTGGCGACGGTAGCAAACCTAAAATTGTTCATGAGAGGGCAATTGGATCATGAAAAGGAAGTGGGCATTTATGATAAATATACTCAGGCTTACTTGCCCTTTCTCCAGAATTGTTTAAATTTTCTTGACCCTTTCACTCCCAAGATCTCACCAGTAGCTTTCCTTACTGTCTGCTATAATACTCTGTCTCATGATGTCAGTTTGGAGAATTTGGTGTAAGATCAGTTACAAATTCCGCTGCATCTCATGCAAGGTTTTTCAAACTGCTGCTACTCCTTGTGTATCAGCAGGCTTGTATTCACGTGGGAGAAGGTTTCGAGAGATGGAGTATTTCACATTGGAAAAGATTCATGCCTCCAAAATTCTTTGCGATTTGCCTGAACTTGTATATCACAAGAGGGAGGAGTCATATAAGCCACCTTAGCCACACTACATGGCTAACAAATAGAAATCTTTATGACCCATGTAGTTCTAATGCGGTAACAGTCTTACTAGTAAGACAGTCTTCTTTTTATTTCGCATTGATACTGTATAAAAATTCAAAATCTGTTTTTAAGAGAGAGTTGCAGACAGAAATAATTATTTACTTAAAGTGTAAGACATACCAAATCAATGACAACATCTTTGCCAAATTGAGCTCTCCATTCTGCTGCAACTTTACACACATGCATCACAGCCTCTGGGTCATCGGCATTCACATGGAAAATAGGAGCATCTACAACCTAAAGAATAAGATATTTAGATGGAGAAGTTAACACAACAGCTGCAAGATACATTAAATTAAATGGCCAAGGTACAGCAAAGTAGTCTTTTTCTTTTTTGAGGGTTTCTCTCAGGAGAATAAAACATTGTTTTCTGTGACCATTTATAAATTTTCGTGAAGGTTGCCCAATGGTTATCATGAAAAAATTGACCTCGAAGCCCTAATGACCAAGGTTGCAATGATGTATATCAATTTTTTATTCTGCATTTGTGTTTATTTCCCTAGAGTCAAATAATCTTCAATCTTTTTCTAGTTCAAAATTTTCCAAGCCAGTTTTCTTAATATGTACTTTACTTAGGAATTAAAGTGAGTGGTTAACGGAAGCTGCTTGAACTAGAAGATACAATTCTGTGCACCCACCTTGGCAACATCGGTGCAATAAGGTGAGGAGCGAGCAACCCTTGGATCAGTGGTGAAGCCAATCTGAAATTAAAGACATGGTTTAATGTGTGTTACAATTATTTTCATCATATTTCAAAACTTTATATCCCAACATCAGTGTGTATATTCTTCATACAATTCTCTACAAGTTTCCTATGGTACTGTTTAGGATAATTTAGTAAAACATTGAGAAATTATAAGTTTGCAACTACTTCATTAATTCTCATAAGCCTTCTGCTTGACTCAGCTGTAACACCTTAATGAGAAATTAGTTGCTAGTCACCCTCAGGATATAAAGGGCAATTCTTCCTCAGTTCATAACAATGTGCTTCTTGTGCATGTGTATCATCATAACCATTACATGTGTGCAGAAAAAGTGCACACAATAACCAAAGCGGGCATTGTCCATAACAAATAGCTCTTTTAAATGGTGATTTATTACCAAAACAATAAAACTAACCTGGTTGTTAACAACAATATGTATGGTGCCATGTGTGGTATACTGTGGCAGTGCACTTAAATGGAAAGTCTCATAGACCACACCCTGTCCAGAAAATGCTGCATCGCCATGAATAAGAACACTCATCACCTTTTGGATATAATGAAAGAAAAAAATAAATAAAAATTTACTCAAAATATTATAATGTAAAGACAGTGTTACAACATGCAAGTGGAAGTACAAATCCTTTATCTCAGTTCACACTGCCTTGTAATTTCATGCTGGCAAGCACAATTAAAAGGAGCATTCCAAAGGGGAAAGCAACAACACCCATTCACTAATTCCTTATGCTATAGAGAATCAACACGCTACAAGTTATAAGAGATAAAATAAACTGACATTCAATTTACTACCTTTTTCCCTTGTGTGTCTCCTCGATAAAATTGCTCTGATCTGGTTTTTCCTTCAACAACAGGATCCACAGCTAAATGTACACAAGAACTTTGACTGAGAAACATGACCCAACACCGACTAATAGTAAAAATTCAGTCTTCCTACAGAGACATTGTTAAAAAATAGCTGTCTACTACTTTTATCATGCATTGTTGTAAAGGTGTCTCCAGGCAAAATTTGAGGAAAATAATTCAGATTGAAAAAGAAAAAGAAAAGACAGTGCAAGCTTAAAAAATAACATTTGACAAGAATCTAGTTACTTTATAAATCCGACATTGCAGATTTCATGAATTTATAAATAAACATTTGCTTGAATTATTAATAATGAAGTAAGAGCCTAAGCTAAAGGAATGCTGAGGTAGAGTACTCCTCTGGTATTGAACAACTTACAAGGGTCCTAAAAGTTTTGTTTGTGAATGACTTACAAATAATGGCAGTGGCATAAAGAACCTGGTATCATTGATACTAGAACAAAATCTTAACTGCTATTGGAGTTGTAAAACTGACAATGAATTTTCTTGATCCACATAGCTCTAATTCTCAACCAAATATCTTGACATATCACATTCGTACAACCAAATGTTAAGGGAATGTTAAGAGATGCCGTTTAAAACAGCTGACAGTACCCTAATACTCAATTTCTTCCCAGACTGCAAAGTGCAATATTGCACAAGAGGAGGGTTGTCAGCAAAACTAGATAATAAAAGTGGTTTGCCACACTAGAATATTGTTATCTAAGCGTCAATAGGTCAGTTACTGATTTTTGAGGCTAAGCCTTTCATCAGAGGGAGGGGAAGCCAAGCATTTGTTCCAACAAAGGCATAAAGAATCCATTCATGAAAACAGGGCTAGAGTCCACACTTTTCACAAAATCATATATTGAATTTCTGAAATCAACTGCATTTTGCAAAAATAAAAACTCCAAAACTTCTTAAAATTCCAAACAAAGGGGAGACAAATTTGCATGAACGAAAGCTCAAAAATAGTTAAATATAATCCAGGAGAACAACCAAAACAAGTTTGCAAAAAATGTTCATATCAGTTTTCAATGTCAAGGTTGGAGTTCTTCATTGTGATTGGCTAATTTGTGAAATCATACTTGCCGCACTTGGATACAACAATAATACAAAGAGGGGAGAGGAAGAGAAAATTTATTATTGGAAATTCAAAATCAAAAGTGATTTTTGTTGGTGTGGCTTTGCATTGCACAATAAAATTTCAACAGTATAAAAGACAAAGAAGTTGTAAACCTTCCAAATGGGAGGGATTTGCCACAACAGCCAACCGCACAATTTTGTTTGTGGCTCTATTGAGAAGTTCATGAGACATCCCTAAATGGTACTTCACATCTCCTGATCCCTGTGGCAAAGGAAAGAGCAGTGTTTAATTACTCCCAGTTCTGAGTCTGAGTGTCTATTCTACCATATCAGTGATGTTCAAGAACATTTCCAGCCAGTTGAAAATAAAATTTTGTTGTCATATCCAGCAATAAAAAAACCTCCAAATTGATTATTTTCTTTACTCCCAATATCTATCTCCTTAAAAATATGTTTACCCTGTCACTTAAAAGAAGAAATCATGACAAATAAGACTCTTCTTTAACCCTTTAACTCCCAAGATTTCATGAGTAATTCTCCTTACTGTCTGCTATACAATTTATGTGATGTTAGTTTGGAGAATTTGGAATTGGATCAACCAATAATCCCCTAATTGATATTTTTCTTTATTCTCATTACATGTCTGCTTGGTATCATACTGATAGTGTATGGAGAAATTCTGTCTAGATCACTAGAGGGACCTTAACCTTTAACTTCCAGAAGTGATTAACATTTAACTTCTCCCTTAAGTATCCAAACACTATATAGCAAACTGTTAATGAGAATACTCAGACTTGACATAAGCTTAAAGTTGTTTTCTTGATCTAACACCAAATTCTCGTAGCTAAATTACAAGGAAATGTGTAGCAGCTAGAGGGGAGAATTAGCAATCAGATCATGGGAGTAAAAGGGTTAAGATCCCCAAATTACAAAGGACTACAAATGTCTGTTAAATTACAAAGGACTACAAATGTTTGCATTTGCTCCCTTCCTTGAAAGTAAGTGGCATTTCTAAAGCTTGCAAGGCGTTGTTATAAGACTTGAATCCAATCACAACATCCCTCATGTTGTTGAAACATCATTCATTACTGCACTGACTACAAATGTTTGCATTTGCTCCCTCCCTTGAGAAGTAACTGGCATTTCAAAAGCCTAAGGGACAGAGTTATAAGACTTGAATCTGATAACAACGTCCCTCAGGTTGTTGAAACATCATTCACTGCACTGACTACAATTGTTTGCATTTGCTCCCTCCCTTGAGAAGTAACTGGCATTTCAAAAGCCTGAGGAATGGGGTTATAAGACTTAAATCTGATCACGAAATCCCTCAAGTTGTTGAAACATCATTTACTGCTACTGAAGTAAAATATTTACCCTCAGATAGGCTGCACTTTTTTTGTTGAAAAAATGGGATTAAAGTTTGGGATGGGGCTTAAACGCAGATACAAGTGTTTTGACAACTAATTAATCTGCATGATAGCTCAAAGCTTTTGTTTCACACTTCAAATTGTTGTAAAACATGTAAGATAACCATTTCAAAGGTAACTTCCCCATTATGGTCAACACCACACTATTTTGGATGTAAACATCCTTAAGGAAAAAGGCATTACAAGTAAACAGAAAAGCATTAGGAGTAAATAAGAAAGTGCTATGACCCTGCATACATACTTCATCAGACGCTTCCAGGGTTGGATCAAACTGAGTAAAGATCTGTTCCAGTGATTTACGGCAGACATTAGCAAGGACATTTAGTCTTCCCCTGTGTGGCATTCCCATGATGATACTCTCCACACCAAACTCACTTGACTTGTCAATGATTGTCTTCATTGCTGGAATCAATACTTCACAGCCTTCAATGCCGAAGCGCTTTTCTGATGACCATTTCTTGGCAAGAAAAGCCTCAAACCTAACAATGCATGATTAGAAGAAATCACAAAGGGAAAACTGGGAAATGAAATTCAACCACCTTGCAAGCCAACACAACAACAACAACATATCTACAAAAACAAACAATATCGGCTGTATTCTATATTTCACCCTGTCACCATGTTTACTTAACCCTTTAACTCCCATGAGTGACCAAGACAGAATTTCTCCTTATAATTTCAATACAATATCAACCAGATAAGTGATGAGAATAAAGAAAAATCTCAATTTGGGGATAATTAGTTGATCCAATACTAAATTCTCTGAACTAACATTATAAGAGTTGTCAGGCTGACAGTAAGGAGAATTATAAATTTGATCTGGGAGTTAAAGGGTTAACACAGTCTGGATACAAGATAATGCAGAGCAAAGAAAATGTACTCTTAAGTGCCAATTTCCAAATTAACTCTTTAATTCCCAGAGGTGATGAACAACTAACTTCTCTCTATAATATCAATACAGTATCCAGTAAAAAGGCAATGAGAATTCTCAAACTTATCAGATAGAAGTTGTTATCTTGATCTAACACCAAACTGTCATAACTAATTTCAAGGGAAATATGTAGTAGCTGGAAGGGAGAATTGACAATTAGATTATGGGAGTTAAAGGGTTAAACACACAAAATAAAAGCTTGCTAAAGTTTATGAGAAAAAAAAAAAGTAAACATTTTCAAATTCATTGCCTACAACATGTTTTTTATATTCCCCTAATTTTACCATTACTGTTCCTTTGCTGTTTTAAAATGTCTCTTTTCTTCTTTTTTAACTTATTCTATTTCTGTTTTGGAGTCACTTTGAGGAATTTAATTTTCAATATTGCCCAAGAATTGGGAAATAGCATTTTGCGAAGGATAGACAAGGTTACTGTTAGTAGCTCCCTTTAGCTCTGCATAAAATAATCTCCATACTACCCTTATGAAAAGACACAGGTGTTGCCTGGTCTTCAAGGTAATACTTCTGTACCCAATAATAATGAGCATGGAATTCCTACCCAGTTGAGCGAATGAGTCTCTTGACCAAAGTTCTTTTGTCTTCCACATCTAGTTGTACAATCCCTGGGGTCTCAAATCTCTTCCTTATCCAGTCACCTTGAAAATTAAAGATAAAACCAATAAAACAAGTCAATTAAAAAAAACTGAGTTGATGATGTAAACTGGCTGACAGAGTTTCAAAAGCGGATATTTGAGGCTTAGCCTTTCATCAGAGAGAGGCAAAGCCAAGGGTTTGTCCCAACAAAGGTGTAAAGAATCCATTTACAAAGAAAGAAGCTAGAGTCCACACTTTGCACAAAATTATACATTGAATTTCTAAAATCAACCACAACATTTGGCAAAAATAAAAACTCCAAAACTTCTTAAAAATTCCAAACAAAGGAGAGACAAATTTGTGTGAACAAAAGCTCAAAAGTAGTTAAAAATAATTCCGAAAAACAACCAACAAAAGTAGGCAAAAAATGTTCATGTCAGCTTTCAATGTCAAGGTTAGAGTTCTTTATCATGATTGGTTAATTTGTGAAATCATACTCGCTGCATGTGAATACAACAATAATACAAAGGGGGAGAGGAAGAGGAAGAGAAAAGTTGTAATTTGAAATTCAAAAGCAAAAGAGATTTTCTACAGAAGGGCTAACATCACGGTTTCTTTAAAAACTTATTCCATTTAGTATACTCAATTGAAAAAAATAAATGAAAAAAATACAAAAAACAGACTCAAAAACTACAGTCATCACAAAGTAATAGGTCATTATACCCTTCAAAAGAGGTTTGTTTTTATCCAATCATATATCTATACTTGAAAGTATGAGAAAAAGCAACTAATGATAAAGCCTTTACATTACATGTATGGCCAAAGGAAGTGGAAAACTGAAGAAAAAAAATCACTTCCTTGGAGTTAAACAGTAGCATTGCAACAACTTTCATTCACTCAGCATTTTTTTAATTAATGTAAAAAATCATATTTTACTTACATTTATATTTTTCTGGAATGAACATGTAATCCAGTCCAATATGTCCACAATAGGCATTCTGTGGGAGAGAAAAAATCAGAAAAAGATTGGAAAAATAAATCAACTTCCAGATATTGCTTGACTTAATGTCAAGCTCTCAAGGCTAAAATCAAAAGAACTGGACCAGATTTCCAAAGGGAAGATAAAGCTATCCAATGGATAAATCACTGACCAGTGGATAAGAGTTAATAAAACTTACAGCACTATCCACCTGATAGAGATCTATCCAGTGGATAGTGTTATCCACTCTTTGAACAACTGGGACCTTTATGACTGACAAAAGATCTGAGAATTGAAATTGAGATGTTGGGAGTACTGTAAAAGGGTTTATATATCATTTGATAAGTCAAATTCATAAACAGTCTCCAGCTTACATTCAGCCTGTTCACTATTTCTCTCAAAGTCAGAACATTATTCTCTCCACCAATAAATGTTGTATTAGGAAGCTGAAACACTTTGTCTAGATCATTCTCACCTATAGAAAAGAAAAAAATAACCATTTAGTAAATACAAATGTCAGTTAAAACTTACTGTAACATCAATGACGAGTGATAGCAAACATAACTGTAAGAGTAGCCATATCATTTCTATGCAACGTAGTTGACAGTTACAGTTGACATTTAATCAATTGTTACATCAAATTTCTCTAAATAATTAAATAATGATTTTATGCCTCAAGAGACAGATAAATTAGTACTTTTTTTACACAAATAATTTCTCTCCACTTGTCAAATCTCTTCATTTTACAAGCTTAAATATCTTTCATTTTTAAGACAAAACATGAGGAAAGTATCGATAGCAAATCAGCGCAGCCTGGTAAAGTTGTCTTCACAGCCAATCAATTTTTCTGATGTCCCACTCCGAATGAAATCTCAGGTCCCTATTGTTTAAAAGGTGGATAATACCATCCACCAGATAAATCTCTACTGGGTGGAAAGCGCAATACTTTTGTCAGCATTTGTATAGAGATTCACCCATAGCATGGCACTATTAGTCATTTTAACAACTGGGTGACTGTCTTCAAGGGACAAAATTTCTAAACTAATAACTCACCCAGTCCCCAGTACTCTAGGGAGAGATCAGCTGGCACAGTTTCAGATAAGTCAGCCTGTAAGATGCCAAGAGGGTCTAGCTGAGCTACATGATGGCCTCGGATCTGCAAGAAGAATTTATTAACACTTTAACTCCCAGAAGTGATCAACATGAAACTTCTCCCTATAATATCCATACCTTAATCAGCAAAAAGGTAATGAGAATATTCAAACTTATCAAATAGAAGCTGCTACTTGATCTAGCACCAAGTTCTCATAACTAATTTATAAGGAAATGTTAAGCAGCTGGAGGGGAGAATTAACAATCAGATCTTGGGAGTTAAAGGGTTAAAAATTACTGTTTGACATTATAATTGCAGAAAATTGGGACAGAAATCTTCTTATAAATAAAGAACCACACATGCATCAAAAGCCAGGTGGAAAAAACTATTGTTTTATAAAATATATTTTGAGTCATTGTTATCATTTTTCATTATTACTTTTCTCTGAAATTTGGGGGGAAAAAATTGGAATTATTCCTGTCTTTAAATTTCCCTGACTGTTGGTGAGTACCTGTTTAACCTTTTAACTCCCTTGAGTGACCAAGTCAGAATTTCTCCTTACAACATCAATACAATATCAAGCAGACAAGTGGTCAGAATATAGAAAAATATCAGTTTTGGAATTATAAGTTGATCCAATACCAAATTCTCCAAACTAACATCACAAGAACTGTATGGGAGAAGTAAAGAGAATTACTTATAAGATCATGGGAGTTAAAGGGTTAAGAACATGGGTGGTGAGAGAAGTACTGTGAGAGTTTAATGTTTTGATAAGACTGACAACCAAAATTGTCTGGTGCATCTTCAGTTAGTGGGGAAAAAAAAAAAAGAAAAAGAAAAAAAAAATCCACTGCAGTCTTTGTATTACCTGGTAACAACGAATCAATGAGTAAACTGCCAAGTGATCTGACACTAGTTCGTTAATTGTTGACTGATCCACAGCACTTGGAACAGTTTGTGGTGTTGCTACCATGCCAGGACTTTGTCCTAAGATGGGCGGTGGCTGATAAGCTTGTCCTGGGGGTTTTCCGCTTTCAACTTGACGGAAGTAAGCATCCCATGACTGCAAAAAGATAAAAGAAAAGAACTCAATATATCTGCCTTTTGTTTAGTAGAAACAAAAAAGTATAATTAACTCTATGACCACTTTATGCTACATCCCATGACTGCAAAGTGAAAACAATGTCAATCTGTAAGCCCTGTACTTAGTAGAAAAAAAGAAATAATTAACTCTAAAAATTGCTTTATGCTAAAAACAGTGCTAAAATGTATTTGACAAATAGATTCTGTGTTGCCATGTGTCTGCTAAGAAATAGGTTACAGATAATACCGCATTATGACCTTATCTATGATCTATCACTGAACAGATGCACAGCAAAATGGAATCTATTTGTCAATTTTTCTCATGATTAATTGTTATGAAAGTGATCAGTGATTGTATAGAACAATATTTGGGTCACCTAATAAATTTGTAGTTTCCTAAATGAACTTCATTCACAGACAATAAACACTAGATTAATCAGTTGTCTACTAAGCGAATGTTTGCGTAGTAACCATGCTACAAAACTTGCTTAAGGTGATTATCAACATTTTCTAACCAACACCTTTATAATAAGCTGAATAATATTAAATAACCTGGTGAGAACATGATATGTTACTGAGCAGAAATAAGGCAATATAGAATTTATTTGCAAATTATTTAGTAAGCCAGCTTAATACTTCTTTCAACATCACTAGTTGCAAATGTTGATGAAAATTGGCCATCAATATCCACCACTGTTCCTTTGGCTGCTATGTTTTCCACCCCACAAAAAAAAAAACAAAAACAAAAACAAAAAGGAACAAAAATTTGCAAGATTTCTCTAGATCAGAGTACATTTCTTTTACAATACTTATAGTGACACTAAATATCATGAAATCTGATTTTACCTCTTTTATAGAAGCAAATATCTATATGCAAACTGGTGAGTATTCTGGTGTGAGAGTAATATGTGACTACTGCAAGACACAACAGAACCCTAGCCTGGAGGGTGGGTCATGAGCCCGCCAATGTTCACTTCCTCATAATATAGCTCTTACTAGTATACATGCATGCCTCTTAAAAGCCTGCTAGTGTGGACAGACTATTAAAAACATCATCTTTCTGGAACTGTTTTTCCTGTTTTGTTCTGCACAAATGAGAAGCAATTTATCTCTCAGGAACCTCTTTCACAGTTTTTGGATTGAACAACCAATAGTTTTTATAGTTGTGTATTTGCCATTCATTTTTAAATTGGTCATCAATATCCACCATTGTTCCCTTGGCCGCTATGTTTTCCACCCCATGAAAAAAATAAACAAACATTTGCAAGATTTCTTTGGGTCAAACGACATTTCTTTTACACTACTTACAATGACTCAGAATATTGTGAAATCTGATTTGACTTCTTTTATAGAAGAAAATATCTACATGTAACCTGGTGAGCATTCTGGCGTAAAAATAATATGTGAGTACTGCAAGAATCAACAGAACCCTAGCCTGGAGGGTGGGTCATGAGCCACTCAAGGTTAACTTCTTTGTAATAAAGCTCTTATTAGTATATATGCATGTCTTTTTTAAAGACGCCTGCTAATTTGGAAACACTATTAAAAACATCATCCTTCTAGTGCTGTTTTTCCTGTTTCCTCACAGAAACCTATCTGTCAGGAACCTCTTTCACAGTTTTGGATTTGAACAATTATGCATAATTTTTCAGGTTGTGCATTTGCAATTCATTTTAAAATTGGCTATCAATATCCGCCATTGTTCCTTTCACTGCTATGTTTTCCACCCCATGAAAAAAAATTAACAAAAAGTTACAAAAATTTGCAAGATTTCTCCAAGTCAAAGGCCTTTTCTTTTACACTACTTACAGTGACTCAGTACACTGTGAAATCTGATTTTCCTCTTTCATAGAAGCAAATATCTACATGTGACCTGGTGAACATTCTGGCATAAAAATAATGTGACTACTGCAAGAAATAACAGAACCCTAGCCTGGAGGGTGGGTCATGAGCCGGTAAAAGTTCATTTCCTCATAATAAAGCTCTTATAAGTATACATGCATGTCTTTTTATAGATGCCTGCTATTTTGGACAGATTATTAAAAAACATCATCTTTCTAGAACTGTTTTTCTTGTTTTACTAATGTTCTTCACAAATAAGAAGAGACCTATCTCTCAGGAATCTCTTTTACAGTTTTTGGATTTGAACAATTATTCATAGTTTTCTAGTTGTGTATTTGCAATTCATTTGAAAATTGGCCATCAATATCCACCATTGTTCCTTTGGCTGCTATGTTTTCCACCCCATGAAAAAAAAAAATTTGCTAGATTTCTCTAGGTCAAAGGACATTTCTTTTACACTACTTACAATGACTCAGAATATTGTGAAATCTGATTTTACCTCACTTTTAGAAGCAATATCTACATGCAACCTAGTGAGCATTCTAGCGTAACAATACGTGACTGCTGCAATAAAAAGCGGAGCCCTAGCTGAGAGGGTGGATCATGGGCTGGTCAAGGTTCACTTCCTCATAATAAAGAAAAGCACCAATTAGTATGCGTGTTATTTTAGACGTCTATGAAAAGCATCATCTTTCTAGAACTGTTTTTCCCGTTTTATAAATGTTTTACACTAAAAGGAAGCAATTGATGTAAAGCGATTTGAATGAAACTAACTCCAAACTCTAGACGCTTTTGGGTAAACACGCGGGTTGTAGAGTTCGTGGGTGTTCAATACATTTCACATCAATAACGTTCGCGCGCTGTAGTATCAAAATTTACGGCCACAAATCAGACAAATTACTTACCCGATGTACACTTTTAGGATCCTCTTTCCACGATAAGTACATTTCTTCCACATAATTGCCACTACTACCGTTTAAAAACGGTTCCTGAGCGACTAAAACCGCAGTTTGTTGCCATCTCTTGTGAAGCGAGGGCTTGCCATATCTTGCCAAACGCTCCCTCAACAATCTCGCACATGTTCTTGCTGCATACATCATCAACACTTTCAAAAATATAAAACTCAAGTCCTAGTCCTTATTAGCAAGTGTTCAAATGTCATATAAGTCCTGTTTTGTTGAAGAAAGTGTGATGGATTTGACGAAAGCATTAAACTTCCGAGAGATTGGACTTTCGCCAGTTTAGTTTCCAGCGTGGCTGTGTAGCCCTTTATATTCGTCTTTCTTTGAAAGCACAGCCGTTCTAAACGTACCAAAAGCGTACGATCTTTGTAGTAGTTCTCTTGTAAGAAGTTTTTCCCTCTGAGAATAAGCCGCTTCCGATCAGCAACACAGATAGCTAGGGAATCACGAGCTAGACTACTTTCGTAAGACCCTTGCAGTGTTTCTTCGCTCGTGCAGTGACGTCATATTGGATTAGTAATCGATTACGCGACGTAAAAATAGTCGGAGACTGTCACGTAAATTTCAATTTCAAAAGACGCTCCGCATTCAGGACTTAATCTTCGTTACGCAAGGGTGAAATTTTCCATTCAAGGTGAAAATATCTTTAATTGCTGTCAATAAATTTTTCAAAGGAAAAAACAACCTAGAACATTCATTTCGTGACAGACTCGAAAGGCCGAGAACGATTTGAAATCGGACCCAAGCTCTTCGCGGGATTTTCAAAACAAAAATGGCGACCTCCTTTCAAGGTTGACCACATTGTTAGCGAAAAATGAGTAAACGGAAAGCACCTGAGCAGAATCCAAACAGTGATTTTTGTGATTTCCTTATTGGTGAGTTCTTCCTTTATTTGAAAATCAAAATAGTTTATATATGTTTTTTTCTCTTGGAAACAATGCATACTGATTTTGGAGATCGGTATATTTGACTTAGCGCCTGCAGGCTAATTGACAAATATTGAAAACAAATATTCGGTTTCTTTTGAAGAGCTCGCAGAATACGAAAAGAACGTGTCAAGGCAGATACACAAGCACAATGCATACCGGTGGGTATATGAAAAGTTATGATTATTTTTTTAATTTCTTTTTTTTAAAAGCTAGTTCTATGAAATGGTATTGATTTTTTTTGTAAATACTTTTGGAAGCTTTGCTCTAATGACATTCCATCATCATTCTTTTTTGCAGAGTGAAAATAAGCATCTATATGGTTTTGTACCATATAATCAGTTCAATGTTGGGTAAAATTTCTGCGCAGCCCTGTACTACATTATGCATTCAATTCTTGGATAGAGAAAACAATGACAAAAAACAATACATTGCCATTGGGAAAACATATTTGTTTTACAATAGTATGGGGCTGTGTGGAAATTTTACCCAATGTTGTACTATGGCAAACAAAATCTTTTATAACAGGGAAATTTAGTATTATCAACTGGGTTGATAATGTAAATTAGCCACCTTAAAGAGTTGTTTAAATGGCATTTCAAGTGTTAGCCCCTCTCCCACCAACACAGCACCACTGTTTCTTAGGAAACTTACCCACCTTATTCAAAATATTTTACATAAAAGTATATATTATCTGTTTATGTAGTGCTTGAGAGCCTCATTGAAACTTCAATATTGTTATTTAATATACTAGTGAAGGACAGTATGTGCAAATTATCAAAATCAACCATGGATCACGCCAATGCAAAATAGTCCCAGTTGAACATAGGACCTAGTGCCTCGATGTAGCTTGGTTGCTCTGTTGGAAATGGCACTCAAATGTTTTTCGGGCATGGGTAAAGGTTTGAATCCCATAAAAGCCTGAAAAATTATAAAACATTTTTAACCCTTAAACTGCTAAGAGTGTCTAGTATCTAATTTCTCCTTACAATATCACACTTTAATCAAACAGTGAAGTCATGAGAATAGAGATAATGATCATCAACTAAAGAAGCTCTTGATTATTCAACCAATTCTCATTGTCAGCACCTTGGGAAATATATGGTGGATACTATCGAGAATTTGGATAATGATGTTAGGGGGTAAAGGGTTAAATAGTGGCTCAAGGCCTTACTTGAACCTCAATATTATTGAAATATTTTTGGTTTTCTCCAAAGTAGGTCAAATATTTGAAATAACCAATTAATGATATTTTATGTTTAATTTGATTTGTGTTGATATTTATATGTTAATGACCTATTTTTCTTCTATGGGAATGCCCTGAAGCTTTGATTTTATGATTGAGTGGTTATTTTGTCATGAGGAAATTTGAGTTGATAAGTTTGATAAAAGGTTGACATAGTTCTAGTGGGTGAAATTTTGAAACAGATTAGGTTGATGAAGAATACAATCTTACATTTTTACTCAACAGCCATTCTGAAGAGAAAAAAAACTGGCTCAGTTAGAAGAGAATGAAGACCAATCCTTTCAAAGTTCAAATACCTCTATCTCTTTATGCTTGATTATATGAAACACTGAGCTTCAATTTTGGTTTTCAGATTGGTTGTGAAATGGCTCATGAAAAGTTGTTGTCTCATCTCAGGGACACATTCAGGAAACCTTTATGGTTTGGGGGAGAGAGGCAACTAACTTTTGACTAACCCACATCTCCTACCTTCCCCTCAAACCCCCCCCTCCCTTCCTTAATTTTTTCACTTCTGTCAGCATCTATCTCTAAGTACCAATATCCTTTAATCCAGGAAAGCTGCATCAGTATTAGCAAAGCACCCAACTCGCATCAAAAATGGACAAGAAGCACGTCAATTGGTAAGCTACAGGTTTGCATTCATCAGTTTCTGAAAACCAAAAGTATGGAAAAGAATTAGTTCTAGAAAAGTCAGCTCTACTTTAAAGGTCTATATGCACCTGTTTTCAATTGATGACTGTTGTACCTAAGACATGGAACGCAGCTTGAATTAAAGACTTGTTGAGGAAAGACAGTGATCAGCTTAACAGAGCAAATTTGAATTGAGTTATTGAGGTAATTTAGGACTGGATTGGTTTTGCTTTACTTTGCTTGATCTGTAATTAACCAAGAAAATGTACTTATGCCACCTTCTCAACCAAACAGATGCAAAACTTATTATAAACAAGTGTCCACTTGGTAAATTGAATTTTTCTGTGCTCCAAGTTAGTAGCTTTTCTTGCTTTGAGTTTTCATCAGCTCATTTCAATATTGGTCTTTGCCCTTTTTTGGCTGTGATTTCTATGGTTTGGTTTTACTATTCGCAATCAATCTTTGTTCTATTATCAATGGGTACTGCACTAACTGTATTATCTATTAATTAAAGTTTGGAACTGGGATTAAATTTATTTTTACCATCATTTTATCAATGTACTTTTCTTAAACTTATGATGTGCCAGCCTGGGATTGGAGATAAAATTGGGAAGAAGATAGATGAGTTTATCAAAACAGGAAAGTTGGAAAAGCTTGAAAAGGTAATCATGATTAGGCACCATGCAACAATCTTTTTTTCTAAGTCTGTTTGTTCAAAGCTGGGTTTAGATAACCCATATTAGTGTGAAATCTGATTTGAGATCAGAAAGCTTAAAAAAAAACAAATTCAGTACAATTCTTTTGTTTACAGTTTGATGATTGGATGCAGCATAACAAATAGAGAGAAATATCTGAAAAAAACTTTTGAATAGAGGAATAACCAAACCAGGATTAAAACTTTAACCCTGGGTTAGCTAGGGGTTTCAATGGCATTCTTGGAAAGTGACTGCCAATGATGTAATAGATGAAACCCAAGCACAAGAGCCTGCTCTCATGCTAAGCAGACAGTGGTGACAATTGTCATTGCTGGTGCTAGCTTGCCTGTAACTGGCTTTTATTGAAACTGTTGGTTAGTGCTATCAGCCTTTGAACAACTGAGTCTAGGTTTTAAAAGTCCTATTCAACTTGTAATAAGTATTCATAATCATTACAGATTGACTCTAACACCCCCCCTCAACTTCAGCTTCTTATCAAGTATCCCCAACACATGAGCCAATTGGCCCATAGGGTGCCTGTACTTTCCCTGATTTTCTTAGTGTGAAAGGACTAGGAGTATTGTGACTCTTCCCTGGATGGGATGCCTCTCCTCCTGCCTGCCCCCCTCATGCTTCCTTGACAGTTCACTGGTACCATTAATATTCCAGGATGGAGAGAGGTGTAGTGACAGTCCAGAATTTAGTGTCTTACCCAATGATACAATATTGGAAAGCAGTGAAAAAGCAGGCAACCAAAAATCAGTGGGGGCCAGGCAAAGAAAAAATTAGCCAGACAACAACTCAACTAGGTTCCCCTCACTGAAAGTTTTCGCTTTTCCTTGCCCCACTTTTTGCCAACACCCTCTCTGACCCCCTCCCCCACCTCCCTAAACTGAGAGCCTGGAACAAGCAAACACAACACTATGACCTCAATCAGGGCTAGGACCCAGACCTTTTTATCTGTCTCTTGCCTATTGTATTTTTAAAGATTACTGCTGCTTTATGTGATTCTAAAATTTTTTCAGATAAGAGCAGATGACAGCACCAAAGCCATACAGGAGCTGACAAGAGTGTCTGGTATTGGGTGAGTGATTTTTACTTTAACATTTCTGGTTTGAGAGGTTAGATCAGTTTTAAACTGTAAGTTTGCTTTATGAAAAATGTAAATATCAGACTGAACCAATGTTTTATGTTTTAAATTATTTTGTATTTTGCTTAGGTGCACACCATGTAATAATTATTGATACTAACTGTTATTTACAGGTCATGTGGTAAACTTTTAATTTGGTTCATGAAAGGGAACTTAAGAAAAATTGCATGCAGTGAAAGATAAGGGTGTTTTTTTTTTTTGTATGCAGGCCTGCTGCTGCACGCAAGTTTGTAGAAGATGGAGTGGTATCACTAGAAGGTAGCCTAAGCTTACAAGTAAAGTGATAACCAACTGCTGCAGCCTACAGCAGGCTGACACTTTGTGCATGTTTCATAAAACTAATGCAAAAGACCAGCAAGGGCTTAATGCTTTATTCAAAAATGACATAGTTTAAGTCTTACATGTACTGCCATCTCTTAAGCAAGAATGGGAAAACTCCTTTATTAATAATTTAACTTTAACAATTTTTGTCAGGTTGCATGGTTTTTGAAACTGCGATACTTTGTGGTATACTGTTATACCATCCTGTTATTTTTTTTGTAGGTTTGAAAAAGGTTCAAGAACATCTTAATCACCACCAAAAAATTGGACTCAAGTAAGTGACATGTAATCTGAAGTTAACACACAATAAACTACTTAATAAACTAGTATTTTTAAGTCTTTTAAAGTCAAGTCATGTAATGGCACTATTGTTACTTTTGCAGTTAGACAAGTTAGGAAAATTTATTTTCTCAGACATACCAAAGTTACTGTTAAATTAAGTCTGAATGTACTTTCAGATATTTTAGCTAAACTTCCCTCCTTAATGAATATAATTACCCTTTTTTCTATAGAATTTTTTAGAATT